GATGATGGAGCAGGGATGTGTGGGGATGATGGAGCAGGGATGTGTGGAGATGATGGAGCAGGGATGTGTGGGAATGGAGCCCTCTTCAGATGTCACAGCGCCTGGACCCTGAGGACCTGGGCCATAAAGGGGTTTGCTCGAAGGGGCGCTCTGATGACTGAGATGGAGTTTCCAGCCATCCTACTAGGAAGGGCCTTAGATTACCATTTGACTTGATTTCTGAAAACTAAGTCAGTGTTTCATTTCTTTCAAGATGGAGTTGGTGGAGCACAATTCAATTACACATTGACTTCCTGTGTTAGCCACACCCGGTTTGGTTCTTTCATAGTGACATTTTAATCGCCAACCCTCAGGGACTTACCACAATCAAGTTGGATTTCTAAGTTCTACTGTGTGCCTAACCAAAGTCCTTAGGGCTTCTGCTCCATAGAATGGCCAGTGTGATAGCCACAGAGGATCCTAATAACATGGACTTTGGTTCCTCAAGGCAAGGAGAGGAGCCACAGGGTTCAGCACTGGAATCCCAGCACTTCCTCAAGAAGTGATTGGCAACTGCTACTGAATTCCCATTAGCTAGAGCTGATCACATGACCCACCTAATTGCAAGGGATCTGTCACACACAGATAATATGTCTATTTTACTGAATACTAACACCTCTACTAAATGATTTCCTTTAACTTAACACCATTAATAATGTACATTTGTGTAAAGCTTATCGGAGGCAGAGATTTGGGTCGTTTGGACATATTATCTTACCACAGTACTCTCAAGTCCTGAGCATTAAGAAGACCAAGGTCCACAAGAGGATGTAATAACAATTAAATGGGAAAGGATTTGAACCTGGTTTTGATCAGAGCCTCTCCCATTCTTCCCCAGTGGCTTGAGAGAAGCCAATGCCTTGTTAAGAATTTAATTTGATGGGCAAGCAAATTAGCATAGCCACTATGGAAATCAGTATGGCAGGTCCTCAGAAAACTAGAAATAGATCTACCACACAACCCAGTTATGCCACTCACTCAGGTACATATCCAAGATAGCACACGCAGAGAGACACATGCATAAATTAGCATAGCCACTATGGAAATCAGTATGGCGGGTCCGCAGAAAACTAGAAATAGATCTACCACACAGCCCAGCTATGCCACTCAGGTACATATCCAAGTTAGCACACACAGAGAGATGCATGCACACCAGTGTTTATTGCTCTGCTAGTCCCAAGAGACAAGACAAGTCCCAGAGGCTCATCCACAGAGGGATGGATAAAGAAAGTGGGGTGTGTATATACACACATGCATACACACGTACAACGGCCTTAAAGAAAAATTAACATGTCATTTGCAAGAAAACGGATTGGAAACAGACAGCATCATGTTAAGACAGATAAACCAGATGAGAAAAATGAATGTCACATGTGTTTTTATATGTAGACTCTAGATTTTATAGTGACAGAAAAGCAGCAAGGGTACTATTCAGGGGGCGTGGTCGGAGGGGGGATAAGACACGGTGATGGGGAAGAAGGACAAATTGTCTGCTTTTTCTGATATGTGGAATTAAGGTTTATCTATTATATATGGAGGGGACAAAAGAAGTTAACGAGTGACTGTGAATGATCTGCACATATGAAGGGCACATAATGAGACACATTATTTTTGTACGCTGAAAAATTAATGAGGACACTAATTTGACTTTTTGATGTCACTATCTTGAAAACTGTGATCGTGGTGTGGGGGAAACACAGGAGTTTGTCATCTGTTTGCTGTTACGAAAGCAATGACTGGACTGATATTTTAGAGAGATTTTACCGAAAGTACCCATTTCCTGACACATAGTCCTCCCTCGGCGATAAGGACACGTTGCTTCCTCTTCTCGGAGCTGGATTCTGGCTGTGTTGCAATGGGACTATGCAATGCCTGGGTGCCGACCTTGTCCTGACCCTGTATGTCCACAGCCCTGGCTGAGCTATTGTGTAATACCCATCCAGAGGGTGGCGTGGCTTCTGGAGAGGCACCCAAACGAGAATGTGCATATACCCTGGGTTGGAGATCACGGAGAGGTCTGTCCCAATGAGGAAGACAAGCAAATCATATTTCAGAGCAACCAGTGACCCCAAATGGGTCTGAATGAGGACAACAGGTAAATTTTACACAGCACCAATCTTGTTCCTCACACTGTTTAAATCGCTTTGCCAACTTAACCCATTCAGTCTTCACAGATGGCCCTCACGCTATCAGCAAGGTTATTATTCTATCCACTTTAAAGATTTAGGAGCCAGGAACTTGTGCCAATGACTGTGGCACTGCCAGCAGCCGGCCTTATGCCAAAACTCAAGAAGACACCAGAATTTGATCGGGAGACCCTATCAGTAACGATCCCCCATCAGTCATAGGAAGACCAATACTTTGGGTAAAACAGCAGCATCAGCATCATCAGCAGCAGCAGCAGCAACAACAACCATGTCTAAAGATTGATGAGTGGCTCTGTCTTTACAGCTTTCTTGGTTTACACTTCCATGGAAGTTTCTCTGATATCTGAGCCTCCACAAGAAGTGAAGCCCCGAGACCCCTGGGCCATAAACCTCCTGGACTTGTTTCTAGGACCTGTCTGGAAGCACGAGCTGAAGTTAAATTTAGTGTTGAATTTCACTTCTAGAGTTGAAAAGACCTGACCTGAAATCCAGTGTGTGTGTGTGTGTGTGTGTGTGTGTGTGTAGTGTGTATAGGAGGAGGAGGAAGAGAGGGAGGAGGAGGAGGAGGAGGAAGAGGAGGAGGAAGAGGAGGAGGAGGAAGAGGAGGAGGAAGAGGAGGAGGAGGAAGAAGAAGAGGAAGAAGAGGAGAAAGAGGAGGAGGAGGAGGAGGTGATATGTTTTTGGGAGTCAGAGGACAGTCTCGGCTCTGGTTCTTCAGGCATTTTCCACCTTGTTTGCGTCTGAGTCAGGGTTCCTCACTGAACTGAGGCTGGTTGTTTTAGGAGCCCAGGAATCCTCTTTTGCCAGCTCCCCAGTGCTGACTTCAGTTGGACACCCCCCCCCCCACTTTTTCTTTTATGTCAATGCTATGTGAATTACAACACAAGGAAGGACCTGAGTTTCTTGTGCCGGAAGCAACTCCTTGACTCCGAAGTCCAGTTTCTTGTGTAACCTAGCCTGGATGAGCCTTTCCCTAGTCCGAAAACATAGATAGTAACAGCACCTGCACACGGAGTTCTGAGGGTTAAATGACCCCAGATACTAACACTGTCCTGAAGAGGCTGGCATGTCAGCTGCTTCTGCGTGGCAAGGCCCGTAGAGGTATGGCTTGATGGGAAAAGTCTCCCATAAGCTGAGATCAGTTAGTTTAATACAGTTTTATGAGAGGCAAAGAAAGGGGCTTTCTAGAATTGAAAGAGAGAGAGAGAGAGAGAGAGAGAGAGAGAGAGAGAGAGAGAGAAAGATTCTGAAACAGGTGAGCACACTGCAGATACAGACCACCCTGTTTTCTCTCTACCTCCAAGGTCTAGTGTTTGACATCTCGGTGTTGAGGGAGAGAGATCATTTTATAGTTTCTCTGTGGAAGAGCCAGCTCTGGTTAAGTCAAACAAGGGCAATGACCAGCCTGCAAGTGAGGGTACTTTTTCCTGGCATGGGAGACCACAGACATTGTTTCTTCACCATCAGCCCAACCACCAAACATAAACGGAGAGGGCAGGATTTTGCTGGGAACTAAACAACTCACATGAAATGTCAGCGGAAACCAACTAGTGTCTTTCACGACTGGGGATTCAGTGTGGAAGGCACCAGGCACCCTCCCAGGCACCCTTGGGATGCATATCATACCCTCCTTCACAGTCCAGGAAACTCAGGCTGGAGGAAATCAGCCTCAGGTCTCACAGCAAATAGGAGGTGGCCATGACAGAACTCAGAGTTGCCTGAGGAGCTCCTTAAACTGTCTAGGCTTTCACCCACCCACTCACCCACCCACCCACTCACCCACCCACCCACTCATTCATTCACTGACTCATTCAGTCACTCACCACTCATTCATTCATTTATTCATTCACTCACCCATTCATTCATTCATTCACTCATTCACTCACCCACCCACTCATTCATTCATTCATTCATCCACTCACCCACCCACCCACTCATTCATTCATTCATTCACTCACTCACCAGGCATTTTATGAGCACCTACACCATAAAATGATATTTTAGGTAAGGGAACAAACATTCCTTCATCTTTTTATGAATGTCCTCTGGCTGCTGCATCTAGCCATCGCAAATTTGGTGGCTTAAAATAACATATTCTCTCACAGCTTGAACCTAAGAGTCTGAAAGACAGGTTGCCAGGAGGGCTAAGCTCCTTTTGGGGCTCTGGGTGAGGATCCATTCTTTGTTTTTTCCATAGGTGTCATGGTCATAATGGATGCCTCACTCCAGCCTCTGCAGGCTTGGCCACCTCCTCTGTCTGTCTCTAATCTTCCTCTTTATAAGGACACTTGACAAAGGATTTGGGGACTATTTTTATAAGCCCCCAATGAGCCTTGCTATCATCTTAACTAAATCAATCAAAAGTTATTCTTGATTTAATTACTTAAAAAGAGTTACTCTCCAGAGCAAGATGCTGGCCCCAAGACCTGGAGGTTAGAATGTGGAGCCCTTACTTAATCCCAAACAACCCTTAACAAGCTTAGAATCCAGTGAGGTTACTGATAAATCAATAACAGGACCATAGCAAGTTGTGATAGGAGCTCCCGGGAGAGTAAAACGGGGAAAAGAAGCACTCAAGGATCCCCTCTGGTTGGCAGGATAGAAAGCCTTCCTTTTGTGAGGAAGGCCAGGAGAACAGGAAGAGTCAGCTGGCTGTGTCCAGAGGAATTCAGCTCTTCCGGTGTACTGCTTATTAAATTATACCTTTGTCAGTAGAGGATACGTCCAATGAGTGGGGCACAGCACTCCTTATCAGGAGATTAGGGGAGATATACTTTCCATGGATGTAGATGACATGGTTTTGCTATCACAAAGCACACGTTATTTTACTAGACCATAGACTCCATGGCTGCCAAAGAAAGGGATCATAATTATATAAATTGAAGCTTACAGATTTTGGCTGGCTTCTCCTATCTTTTAATGGGCTTATAGCTAATAAGGGAACAGATGTTACCCGTTGTAGGTAACTGGGTGTTTGCTTTGTAATGAGTTTCACCTGGAGAGGCCACTGATGCATTAGGCAGTCAACGATTGTTTTATTGATGGTTTTCATTTGGTTAAGATTGATTTACTTTTTTTTTCTAGCTCCTAATTTTGCAGCCACATCCATGGCATATTGATTGATTAATTACTCATCGGCTCATCACAGCAGACCTGAAAGTATAGTCTGGGGAGAATCTAGCTGACCTGGGGACCTCTGGTTTCCCTTTAGATGGAGGTCAGTGACTTGGAGTCCACCTACCTAGCCTGTTTGACTGTATGCCCCGCACAAAGAACCTTTTGTTCCCATTTCCAACTTCATCTAATTGCCACTCCTGTTTCTTTGCACTGAATGACAGCCTTGAAAATCTGCAGTCCAGGTTCTGCCGGACTTTTATCTTAATGAGACTGTCACTCAGGTGCCGATCAGGAACTCTATCGAAAAGGTAAGGCTCATGGAGGGTGGGCCAAAGGATGTCTGGTGCCCACCGCACTGGATCCTCAAGTCTTTACCTTCTTTTCCAAAGCGAGACAGATTTGAGTACCAGGACCCTGGTGTGGGTCTGAGTGAGCATAATTACATGGTGCTTATGCAGAGGGATATCTGGGGGAGGCTCTCCTAAGGATGTGGAGAAGGATGAAAGTCCTTACGCAACCTTATGACTTGTGGTGGTGGTGGCAGTGATGTGGGCAGGACAGGAGGGCCTTGGAGAAGACATTCCTTGGCTGAGTTACCTCCAGGGGTCACTGTGCTTTTTCAGGCCTCTGCTTATAGACATGGTGGTTTCTAAGCAGAGCTGACTCTGGCAGGTTTTCTCGGCAAAGGTAAGGAACTCCTTACAAAACAGCTCCACTGATCTTGAGTCTCTTTTCTCTTTGACCTATTTTTCATTTATTTTTTATTTTATGTTGAAACAGATCATGATTATTTTATGATATATCTGGAAGCTTATCTAACGGATAATCTTTGATTCTCTTTTATCTAAAAGATTTCAAAAACATTTGAAAAGATAACTACATAGAGCTTAAATTTGTAATGAAATATAACTGCCCCTGGATGAATGGTTTTCCAAATGATACTTTCCTGGCCTATTACCCCGGGCTTGTAAATAGGTCTTCATTTGGCAAAAGACTCTGTGGATGTAACTAAGTTAAGGCTCTTGAGATGAGATTGGATTATGTAGATAGGTCATGAATTTAATGGTAAATGTCTTGGAGAGGAAAGATAGATGGGGAGGAGACACGTCCAGACAGATAGAAGGGGGGACATGTACAGACAGACAGGAGAGGAGATGTGTACACATGGACA